ATTATTCTAAAACTATGCTAAGCCAAACATCTACTCGCTGAAAACGATATCAGTCTTCTCATCAAACTCTTGACCAACATTTTCAGAAAATGTCAAACCTTGGAAAGCTGTCATCCAATAGCATTTTATGGTCTTAGATCCTGAGTCCAACCCTGTTGTAGCCCTTTTTTAGCAACCTGAAATTAAAGAAGTAGGTTGATATTTAAAGAATTGAAAGTCAAGTTTTGACAGAATTTACGTATTTTCTATTGAGCTCGAAGATTATCTGAACATTTTGTACATTGTTCGTTATAGAGTCAGCAGGTAACAGACTGCAAAAGAGACTTTTTTAACTTAAATACAACCGAGTTTTAAAATAACCAGTCATGAATTGGAAAGTCAGTCTAAAGAGAGTATTGATTCAAACCAACACAGCCTTTGATAAATTGTTTCCTAGCATACTAAATGGCTGGAGATGCAAACGTACGTTAGCAAAGCTTTTGCAGACTGTTACAAGAAAACAAGATCCTTTCTTCTTTGTTCTCTTTCGACTTCAGCCAGACGACATGACATCTCGCAGAGCAGATGGAGAATCTGAGGCTTCAGGGTTTAATGTCGAATTACGTGACTCACGCTCGCCCGGTCCTGCCCCCTGACCCCCGTGGAAAAAGAATAGCAGAGAATGAGTTGACAAAGCTGGCAGATGTTCATCAGCGTGAGCCCTGTGCGAGATTAGGAAGGGATAGAAACCGTTTCTGATCTGTTGCAGATGTAACTAGACTGGGCTGAGTTTCTTCGAGTCCCGGATTTCTTTTCTGGTCTCTGCTGCGGCTCCTGCAAAAGAGACCGGGTCACGACTTTGTTCAGAGGGTTCGATTTTAAAGAAATCAGCGTTTATAAAGCTGGAAATGTGTACGTGTTTGATAGCAATGATTTCAGGCTGGTCAGAAGTAGAAGTACAGTTTGTGTTGAAATGTGTGTATATAAGAGTGTTTAACAGGATTAAAATGTCTATTTGATTAAATGTATAGCTCTATTAAGAGGTTTAGAGTAAAATTTTATGGAGGAGGATCTTAAGTTGCCAGAGCTGACCTGAGGACCAAAGCAGTGGTTTCACCCCCCCCCCCCATCATCCTGCAGAGGATGCCTTAAATAGCTCACAGTCCCCTTCCTCCACCTCCTGCATCACTGTCGCTCATACAGCTCGTGTCGTTTCTGGAGGTAGAGTCCCTCAGAGCACACCTCACGCGTGATTGATATATGCTTGACGGTAACCCTGCGTCTGGAAAAGGTTTTAAAACACCTTTATTTGGTTTCATATCACACTCTGCGGCTTCATGTTGAGGTGGAGACAAATGAAACATACACAAGCTCTGTGTTCTGTGAACATTCAGCCGTACGGAGGCCTGCGCGGGACAATGCTGCTATGAACCTGTTCCATATTTTAAACAAACAGCGACATGTTGGACGTGGGGTAGAAAAGCACAGTATTTTTAAAGATTTGTATAGAGTTCTATGAAATTTTATAGAGGTTATCCGAACAAAACACTGATGCGTGGATTGCCAAAAAAAACCACAGAAATACTATATAGATAAAAATGTGACTATTATTAGACTTCTGGGTTATTTAAGAAGCAATATTTATTCTGAATGAATCTCCTTGGTTGTGTTTTCTTTTCCCATTTTAAAGTTACATATCATGATGCATTCACTTGTCAGTGTTTTAATAAAGTGTTGCCTAAAGTAGATTCTACTGCAGTTTAAGATATTTTGGCCAATCAAGTGAAACCCAGGTATATACGGCAGGCGACAAGGGCAAACACACCGCAGATCCGAAAGATTTTCTCAAGAGGAAAGATGTGCTGCAGATTCAAAACTGATGCACCTTCAAAAAAATTTTAAAAAATCTAAGCGAATAAAACAGAATCAGGCTGGAAATGTTAAGATGTCATGAAAAGACAAAACAAATACTCTAAAGCAGAAACATTGTTGATGCAAAATCAAAATTTAACAAGTAAAAGGCTACCTGAGATAGTCCTCCAGGCCTGTAGGGGGCACTTAGAAAATCAGGATTTAAAGTAAATATCCTTTTTTACAAAAAATGACTTTTACTCGTCAAAAGTTCCACCATGCCCACAGCTCCAGGAGTTTTAAAGCCAGCAAAAAGTACTGTTATCTGCAAGGCACACTGCGCTTATTAGCTATCTGTAGCATTAGTCGTCACTTTGCAAAGCTCTCTGTAATAAAAGTTATTTTCGCCTAAAAATTAGATCCAGTTTCAGAGCGATCTCAAATTCATGGTTTTTTGTACAGTATTCAGTGTAAACTGTACGCTGTATTCAGTGCTGCAAATTCAGCCGTGAATCCACAGGTCCTATAAGCCTGTAGGGGGCGCTCAAACAAACACCCTAGACTGAGTTTAATAAATTAAAACGCCAACCAGCTTTAGACTTAGAAACAGCGTTGCATAAGTAATTGCTGCTTCTGCTAAAAAAATGCTGTTGGCTAGTTTGCGTGGTTAACCATGGAGCTAACGTTACTGTCATCTTAGACTCTCAGATATTTCATGCATTTGCAGAGTAATGGATCTTAATATATATATTTTGTCTTGAAGTAGCACTCTTTTGTTTTCTGCCATATTTGTTTCACAGTTAGTGCATTTTTGCAAACGCAGCCACGTCTCTCTGCAGAGAATCTTTTCGCATCTTGGTGTGTTTGCCCTTCAAGGCCACCATACGTTTTATCTTCTGATGACCACCATCTGCCTGACTGTCATCTCCTGAAATCCCTCGATCTAGAGTGTGTGTATAAAAAAAAAGCAAAAACGTGTAAATTAAAAAAAAAAGATATATCTGCAGGCCATCTTGGTAGGAAATATATGAGACTTATATATATGTATACATACAGAAATCCACCAAAAAGATTAGCGGTGGCTGTGGGTCACTGACAGTTTTCTCTGTTGTAGATCTGAGTAGATGTAGAAGAAACTTTAAAAGCATCACCGTGGCGTGGAGTTTCACCAGGCCGTGTTTCGAACAGGCATGGCCCACTAACCCACCTCCACCCCCCCTTTGAAACACTGCTCCCACCTTTATCATCGTCCAACATTTGGGTAACTGTTTCTTTTTTGCTTTTTATTTTGTTTTTGTTTTTTTCTTAATTGATTAATTTATTTTTTTCATTGATAGATTTTATTCTTTGATTAAGTCTTCATAGAGGCTAAGATGATTTTTCGGTAATTTGTGCAAAGACTTGTGTTCATGTTTTCTATGTTGCTGTAATTTTGTGCTACTGAATCATCATAGAGTCAACTAATTACTGAAATGAAAAGAGAGAGAATTTTCCTGTTTCTGCACTCTTCCTCCCCCTGCCCCCTCTCAAATCCTCAAAATTTCTTGTATGGCAACCAAAATTCACTGTAAGAAATAAATATAATATTGCACTAATCTCGTGTCCCTCTCTGTCTTTGTGGTGCAACACTGAATGGATGTTATTTTGACTGGATGTCAGTAGTGTCCTGATTTTCTTATTTTTTTGCACGTTTAAATGTTTCAGATCAAACAAATTTCAGTATAAGTCAAAGTGAACACAAAATGCAGTTTTTTAAATCAATTTTGTTTAAATTAAGGGAGGAAAAAAAAATACTAAAAGGGATTTCTCTCCCTGTTAAAATATAACTGTAGTTTATCACACCTGAGTTCAATTTAGCCACACCCAGGCCTGATTACTGCCACACCTGTTCTCATTCAAGAAATCCATTAAATAGGACCTGCCTGACAAAGTGAAGTAGACCGAAAAATCTTCAAAAGCTAGACATTATGCTGAGATCTTAAGACAATCAGGAACAAATTAAAAGGAAATAAATTAAAATCTGTCAGTCTGGAAAAGGTTATTTCTAAAGCACAACAACTACTCATCCAAGAGGTCACAAAAAACCCACAACAACATCCAAACCCTGCAGGCCTCACTTTCCTCCAGTTAAAATCAGTGATCATGACTCCACCATAAGAAAGCTGCTTGGCATAAACAGCCTGCATGACAGAGTCCCACGACAAAAACCACAGCTGAACAAAAGAACATTAAGGCTCATCTCAATTTTGCCAGAAAACTGATTTTAAAAAAAGTGTTCACATGTCTGATTTTAAAACTTTCTAACCTGTTGTCAAAATAAAAAAAAATGATCTCAAAAGTTTTTGATTCAACTTAAACAAAACTTTATTCTAAAACAGAGTCAAGCTGACAAAGTTTTACCAAACACATTCACAGTATTTCACTGTCAGGGAGTCATCATTGACTCAGACAAAATATGTGAAAAGTTATATGTGTAATACAAATGCGGAAAAAAAACATGAAGTAGAAAGAGGAATAAAGCATGACAGAAAAATGAACAAAATAAGAAAAAAGCAATATGAGCAAAATGGAATATGTGCATCCAAAAAGATGACATTTAAGACAAGCTTTGTGTACAGAGTGAGTTTGGTGGAGGTAGAGATGAAAAACCAGCTGGGGAAAAATATTGAAGAAAAAAAAACCCCAGTGGACAAAAAGCTCTCTACATGCTGACACAGTTTCAGCCTCCATTTAACAAATCTTAAGCCATAAATGAAACTCAGATGAAACATTTAGTTTTGTACAAATATAATGAGAAATCAAATTCAGCACAACACAAATACCATCTGGTTACAAATGTAAGAAGACTCGACTAACTGTTGATCTTAAAAGGTTTGCACCAAAGAAACTCACATTTTAGCAAGTTTAACAACACATCATCTGGTCAAACAGATGAAAAATTATAATAGATTCATTAGTACAGAACTATCCTCTATGACCCCTGTGTCACAAACAGGTCATCCATCTTCATCACAGGGACAGGAAGTCCGTCTGCAGGGTGGTGACTACAGAAGGCAAACAGACAGGGATCAGATCCAGTTAGTGGACTGTTTTACATTAATTTATCACCTTAAAACTTTGACTGAAACAAGCAAGACCACTCGCAAAGATTGAATTACCTCTAATCAGGGGACCAAGTCTTTGTCTTCATTCTTCAGCCGGGTCCTGGAGCAAGAGGGGGTCATCAACGTCTCGGTGTAGTCCTTAAAAAAATAAAATAAAAAGACATTAAAAAAAAGGTACAAATGTAGTCTTTAGACGGCACAGTTTTTAACCTATAAGTGAATCATTATCTCTGTTTTATGTACCGGTTTCTCGGGGATGGTGCCCATGGCATCTGGTAGAGTCCGATGGTGTCAAGGGGCAGGTTTCTGTGCTGGTGCAGACTTCAGTTCAGGATCAGTGGGTCCAGAATGAAGATCCGTCCCTCAAAGTGGGCAAAGCACTGGTGTTTGGGGGAGATTCAAATTGGAAGAGATTAGGAAATCTGGATGCATCAGATAAAACCATGTTTCTTTGTAGGTGGTGAAATCTGTACGCCATGCTCACCTGTAACCCAGTGTGCATAGGCTCGGAGTCCAGCAGGTGATGGGGTCTGCCAGGGTCTTCATGGGTGTAGACTCTGTAACAACACCCGATAGATTTTGGAGAAGCAGAAAGATGAGTCACTACATTGGAAACAGACTTAAAGATTCAACGGACAGATTTTCAATCAAGTTTCTCTTGGGCGTCTACAAACCCCCAGAAAAGCTGGAGTTTTTTGAACCTCGGTGAAAACAACTACAAGAACTCTCTGATAAAAATATGATATCAGAATCATTAAAAGAGAACTTCAGATACCTTCAGCTTGACGGTGACTCTTAAAAACTTCCCGGTCTGGATGGAGGAGCAGCTCATCGAAGTGGGGCAGCATCAGATCCTCCCAGAACCTGGTGGTGGTCAGCACATCCAACGCCACAGCTCGACACCTCCGTCATGTTTAGGGGAAAAGCAGAGACATACATGTGCAGCCAAAGGGAGGCAGAAAAACCTCATACAGAATAACAGGACACAAAAAACATGACAAGTACAGATCTCAGATTATTACAGAGATTGGGGGGTCAAAAAGAAAAGAAAAAAAAAAACTCAAAAGAAAACAAACATCTCAGATTTTTACAGCGACTGGAGGGTAAAAAAGAAACAAACAAAACAACAACAAAAAAACCAAAAACAAACAGACATTTTATGGTACCAGTTGATTGTCCCCCCCCATGTTAGTTGAAGCTGTAGAGGAGACGGTGAGGCCTGAAGTTGTAGTTGATGTTGAGGTTGTCCTTGTTGAGTTGGTTACCTTTTTTGGAGAACTGAGTGAACTTTGCTTATTTGGAGTTGTTGTTTTGCTTTATGCATTTTGGATTTTGTCGTTTTACTGGTGGGCTCAGCAAGTATTTGGTAAAACTTGCAACTGACAATTTTGCAGTTTTTCATGCCAACCAAGTTTCGTGAAAACAGAAATAACCTTTTAAAGTCTTAAAACCCTTTTTAACCTTGAGTGATGCTGAACCATTCTCCGGTTGGTTGTGAATTTTCTTTTTTGGTTTGGCTTTTATTTAGTGTTTTCAGCATTTCTTGATTTTAGACTGTTGTTGTTAAGCTTTTGAGTTAAAACCACCTTTTGTACCTTGTTGGTGGTTTTCCCTTTTGTCATTGAAAGCACCATTTGAACTTTGTATTACCATTGTGTCCCTGAGGGCACCGTTTTAAACCTTGTTGATTTGCCCTTTTGTCATTGAAAGCACCATTTAAACCTTGTGTTGGGTCATTGAAAGCACCATTTAAACCTTGTTCGTGTTACCCTCATGTCCCTGAAAGCACCTCATGAACCTTGTTGTCTGTTTTCATATTGTCTTTGAACACATCGTTGTGAACCTTGTTGGTTTGTGGTTGTGTGGCTGAAAACACTTTTTTAAAACCTTGTTTTTGGTTTGATTGTTGTGTTTTTGATCGTTGAACCTTGTGTTGTTGCATCTTTGCATCAGAGTATTGTGACTGTTTCAGCTGTTGTGTTTCAAAAGAGACATTCACCTACCTTTTGATAAAATAACCCACCTTATGGTTGAAGCCGTGTTGGCTTTAATATTCATGTTTTTACCGTTTGACTGGGACTTCTGACGCACTTCTCCAGTTGGGCTCTTTTCTAGAGGAGATCAGGACTTGTTTCTGAAAAATAACATAAAACTACGTCTTAACAGGCACAAAAAAATGAGTATGATTGTTACAGACAGAAACACACAAATCTGTACAGTTAAACATCAGAAAAGGCTGCAGCGTCACTTAAGAGCTAATATTTTCCTGCATCCACATCCTGGAGTCACATGCAAACAACAAAGTACTCACAAAATACACAGCTGTAGCATCACCTACTGGTTTTCAGGAGGTTATAGTCACAACATTGGAAACACTGACCCAGCCTTACATGTTATCAACATAAAAAACAGGCAAAGATCGAGCTTAGGTGGGCCTTAACTTTGGGAGAACAGCTGAAGCACACCCGTGTCACCTCGCACCTTTTGTGAAAATGATTAATAACCAGAGAAAAGTTGTTCCTGGAGTTGAAGCATTCAGACTTTTGGGTGACAATAGGGCAGCGTGTTAAGTGGTGTTCCCCGTCTCATCTTACCTGCAGCACAAGGATGCCTGACTTCGTCTCTTAGAGGTGATCTAGATCCTTCCTGAAGACATTGGTGGTTGCCAGGTTCAGCACTGAAGCTGCTCACTTCTGTGATGGTTGGGGAAAAGGAGAGAGACACACATACAAATGCAGAAAATACTTGACTTAAAAACAGTGAAGGTGAGGTGCAGCATTAGAAAATCTGTTTGAAACTGAATGTGGATGAAGTTATCAGAATGCAGGACCTGGTTTCTTACATGCTTTCTTGTGGTTACTTTGGTGAAAACCTAACGTTACCACAATAAAAAGTTCATCTTACCTTCAACAAGATGACCACCCTTGGATTTCCCAGACGGAACAGGAAGGCGGCACTTTGAGTTTCTGCAGCAACAGTTCCTCCAGGAAAAGAGTGGTCACCTCGTCAGACCTGCTTATGTTTGGAGGAAAGCAGACATACAAATGCACCCAAAGAAACAAGGCCAAACATACAGCAAATAAATAAGTTAAAAAAAAAAAAAAAAAAGCACAGTTCAAGGATTCCACTTCAGAGATTCAAAAGGTTCACAAAAATACAAAGAATAAATAAAAATAAGAAAACATACAGTTTAACAAAAACAGTTGGAGGAGCTACACAGTTTGCTTATTGTCCTCGTTCTGTTTAGTGTTGACAGTTACATCTGTTAGAAACAATGTGCAAACGTTGCTGTCTTGTCGTTGTTTCCAGTGGATCCTTTGGAAGCACTTTGATGATTGTTGAGATGTTGGTGGTTTTGAAACTGAGTTTTGGTTGATAGTGATTTTGCTGAAGTTGCTTTGACAGACCTTTGAGAGCAGACCTTTTAACATACCGTCTTTGCTTCTTTAAGAACCAGTTTTTTTAAGCACCTTTTAAACCTTGTATTTTGGGTTTAAGATCAAGTCCTTGAAAACACCTTCGGAACTTTTGAGGTTTGAGATCAAGTATTTGAAAGCACCTTTTGAAGCTTTTTTGGTTCAAGTCTAAGGCTTTGAAAAACACCTTAAGAATCCTTGTTGTTTAAAATTAAGTCTTTGAAAGCACCTTTCAAACCTTTTTTTGTTTGTTTGCAATCAATCTTTGAAAAGCAACTTTTGAACCCTTTTTGTTTGAGTAAAAGTCTTTTGAAAGCACCTTAAGAACCTTGTTTCTGGGTTTGAGATCAAGTCTTTTAAAGCACCTTTTTAAGAACCTTGTTTTTGGTTTGAAATCAAGCTTTTTAAAGCACCTTTTGGGACTTGTTTTTGGTTTGAGAACAAGTCTTTTGAAATCACCTTTTGGACCACGTTTCTGGGTTCAAGATCAAGTCTTCTAAAGCACCTTTTAAAACCTTGTTTTTGGTTTGAGATCAAGTCTTTTAAAGCACCTTTTTAAAACCTTGTTTTTGGTTTGAGATCAAGTTTCTGAAAGCACCTTTTGGACCTTGTATTTGGTTTGAGATCAAGATTTTGAAAAGCACCTTTTTAGAATCTTTTTTGTTTGTTTGAAATCATACCTTGGAAAGCACCTTCTGAACCATGTTTCTGGGTTTGAGAACAAGTCTTTAAAAGCACCGTTTGAACCTATTTTGTTTGAGAACAAGTCTTTGAAAGCACCTTTTAAAACCCTTCTGTTGTAGAACAAGTCTTTAAAATCACCTTTTGGACCACGTTTCTGGGTTCAAGATCAAGTCTTCTAAAGCACCTTTTAGAACCACGTTCCTGGTTTTGAGATAGTCTTTTTAAAGCACCTTTTAAAACCTTGTTTTTGGTTTAAGATCAAGTTTTTGAAAGCACCTTTTGGACCTTGTATTTGGTTTGAGATCAGGATTTTGAAAAGCACCTTTTTAGAATCTTTTTTGTTTGCTTGTTTGAAATCATACCTTGGAAAGCACCATTTGAACCATGTTTCTGGGTTTCAGAACAAGTGTTTAAAAGCACATTTTGAACTTTTTTTTGTTTGAGAACAAGTCTTTGAAAGCACCTTTTAAGAACCTTGTTTCTGGGTTTGAGATCAAGTTTTTGAAAGCATCTTTTGGACCTTGTATTTGAAAGCACCTTTCAAACGTTTTTTGGTTTGAGATCAAGTTTTTGAAAAGCACCTTTTTAAGAACTTTTTTTTGTTTTGAAATAATAGCTTCTGAACCACGTTTCTAGGTTTGAGAACAAGTCTTTGAAACCACCTTAAGAACCTATTTCTGGGTTTGAGATCAAGTCGTGGAAAGCACCTTTTGAACCTTGTTTCTGGATTTGAGATCAAGTTTTGGAAAACACCCCTCAAATCACTTTTTCAGTTTAAATCAAGATGATCACATCCAAAAACAAGGAGATGTTCACCTACCCTCAGAAAGATAACCAACCTTATAGCAGAAGCCATGTCAATGTTGTCATGCTGTTCTTGAAGTTCTCGTTGTCCTTCTTGTAGTTCCTCTAGATCTTCTGGTGTTAATTCTTGAGGTTTTTGCAGTTTTAACAATAGCATGATCCTAATACTATGAAAGAATAGAAGTTTACCTGGACAAATCAATAAAGCACAGTCGAATACTGTGCACTTGACAAGTTTAGCTGGGTTCATTTTCAGCATAGTTATCCTTACAGTTTTGACAGCTGTTACTGCCACCGCATCAAAGTTAACATTACTGCTTTTTCATTTTCATGTCACTTCAGAGTAAAACAAACATTTTATCATTAGGGTTTTTTTTTGGAGTGTGATCATATTTAAGTCAAATGTATAAAGAAAAAACAGACCCAGTCCTGTTCAGAGGTTTGGCGTTGACACACAAGGTCCACATCAGGTCTTCTTCTGCTCCTTTGGTTCCTGTGAATGGTCTTCTTGTTTTTGGTGATGGTGCTGCTGAGAAAAAGCTTTGATTTTTGGGTTTATGTCATTGTTGAAAGAGTGGAGGCAGATTTTTTTTAGGATTGCTGGTGCTTTTGTCAAATGAGGTGCTTTTGTGATATTAAACGGGTGCTTTGTCATACCTTTTTTGAGAGCAGACATTTAACATACCGTCTTTGCTTGTTCAAGACACATTTTTTTAAAAGCACCTTTTAAACCTTGTTTTTTGGTTTTAAGATCGAGTCTTTGGAAGCACCTTTTGGAACCTTGTCTTTTGGTTTGAAATCAAGTCTTTGAAACCACCTTAAGAACCTATTTCTGGGTTTGAGATCAAGTCGTGGAAAGCACCTTTTGAACCTTGTTTCTGGATTTGAGATCAAGTTTTGGAAAACACCCCTCAAACCTCTTTTTTGAGTTTAAATCAAGACGATCACATCCAAAAACAAGGAGATGTTCACCTACCCTGAGAAAGATAACCAACCTTACAGCAGAAGCCATGTCAATGTTGTCACGCTGTTCTTGAAGTTCTCGTTGTCCTTCCTGTAGTTCCTCTGGATCTTCTGGTCTTAACTCTTGAGGTTTTTGCATTTTAACATTAGCATGATCCTGATACTATTCAAGAATTAAAGTTTAGCTGGACAAATCAATAAAGCACAGTCGAATACTGTGCACTTGACAAGTTTAGCTGGGTTCATTTTCAGCATAGTTATCCTTACAGTTTTGACAGCTGTTACTGCCACTGCATCAAAGTTAACATTACTGCTTCAAAACAAACATTTTATCATTAGGGTTTTTTTGGAGTGTGATCAAATAGAAATCAAGTCAAATGTAAAAAGTAGAAAAAAACAGACCCAATCCTGTTCAGAGGTTTGGGCGTTGACACAAGGTCCACATCAGGGATTTCTTCTCCCTGGTTACTAGTCAAGGTGTCATCACGCTGATCCCGATGGCCACATCATTCTTCTTTCTTCAGGTTGTACTTGCTGACTTATGTCACAGCACTATGCACAACTTACAATCAATAGAAATGCTAAACTGGTCTACAAGGTCAAAATAAAGCACAGCAAAATACTGTGCACTTGAGTTTAGCTGGGTTTGTTTTCAGTCTAATTATCCTTACAACAGCCTTGAATCCCTATCATTGTAACAGCCACTGTAATTAACATTACTGAGTTTTCATGTTATAATCATTCATTTTTAGAGTGTAAAAATAAAGCACAGCAAAATACTGTGCACTTGAGTTTAGCTGGGTTTGTTTTCAGTCTAATTATCCTTACAACAGCCTTGAATCCTTATCTTTGTAACAGTGACTGTAATTAACATTACTGAGTTTTCATTTTCATAATCACTCATTTTAAGAGTGCCAAAATAAAGCACAGCAAAATACTGTGCACTTGATTTTAGCTGGGTTTGTTTTCAGTCTAATTATCCTTACAACAGCCTTGAATCTTTATCTTTGTAACAGCGAGTGTAATTAACATTACTGAGTTTTCATTTTCATAATCACTCATTTTAAGAGCGAAAACAACAGTTTTAATTCAAATTAGGGAAAAAAAAACAAGCAGTATGAAAAAATCAACCTGGTTGATGTCCTTCAAATGGGTCTGTGCATTGGGCATCCATCCCTCGTTGAAGATCACGTCGGGGACATCTGAGGTAGTTTCGGGCGACGGGGAGGAGTATCCACTTGGGCAGAGAAATGCTGCTTTCCAAAAACGCATCGTCGAAATCAGACCTAATCCTTGTGACGCATCCCGACTATTTTAAAGTTTCCCTCAGGAAGTTAAATTTTAATTCGAGTGAATTCCTATTTTTGTTTTGGTAAATTTGTTAATTTACACGTTTTTGAGGACCGAGTTGCTATTTTGTTTAATTAAATCTGATAGTAGACTTGTTTTGGGGGTCTATATTGCTGCACTGGTTGATAGTTGATGGTGGGGATTCTCGTTTTTGTGGTTTAGGAAGAGAACAGTTTCTCTCCACAATTGCATCACCAAAACTAGACAAAAATCTACTTCTCTGGAAGAGAACAATTTCTCTCCACAGTTGCATCACCAAAGCAGACCAAAACTAGACCAAAACCTGCAACTCCAGAAGAGAACACTTTCTCTCCACAATTGAATCACCAAAACTAGACCAAAACCTGCTACTCAGGCAGAGAACAACTGCACTGCTTGATCGTTCATGTTGGGGCTCTTGTTTTTGTTGGTGCGGTTGTTGTCAAACCAAAAGCAAACTGACCTCCAGTGTCCCTCGTTGATGGTCTGTCCGTGGAGTGAAATAGTCAGTATCTTACCTTACAGGGTCCAGGCGTTGGACGGTCATGAGCTCTGCCTCAGTTTGACTTGATACGGCGTAATTTCAGCTCCTGGTTAACACACAGAGAAATACACAACCATCAAACCTTAAGTCCTGAGTATAAGACTCAAAATTAAAAACCTTGACCTCCTTCAATAATCAACTCACATAAGTTTATGAGTTCAACCCTATTTTAAACATTTGTTTACACTTTACAATAACCATTATTTATAAATGGCAAATAGATAGTTAATTTATGTTTAATCATCATTAAAAAAAATAGCATATAGACCAATTATAAATGCCAAATAATAGTTTATTAATATAAGTTCATAGTTACTTTACCATTAACGAGCAACAAAATAATGATTAATAATTTTCATTAATTATTAATGGACTATTTATTAAAGGTTTATATAGCGTGTAAATATTGGTTTTAAAATGTGTTTCAGTAAGTGGTTAATATTTGGTTTTTAAACCATCTATAAACATTACTTTAATGGTTATTGTAAAGCTGCAACTGATGTTTGTAATACTTTGTAAATGATTAATAAATGGTTTATAAACCACCTATAAACATAACTTAGATGGTTGTAATAAAGTTAGGGTTAGGTTTTTTGAAATTGTAAAATTGACTATTTATTTATGGTCTATATGCTATTTATTAATGATGATTAAATATTAATAAACTATCTGCTTACCATTTATAAATGGTCTATTTACCATTTGCAAGTTATGGTTATTGTAAAGTGTTACCAGTTACTTTTAACAGCTCATGTTTACATGATGGTTGGCAGCCCTGCTCCAAATCAGAATCTCTTCACACATGCACATGTGCCAATTTAAAGACCATTTTCAAGCCTCATCTTTATTTTCTCTCTGGTCATTTAATGTTGCATCCCTGCCTCAGTCTCACCTTTGGCCTCAGTGGAGTGGAGTCATCTGAGAGGGCATGAAGTCAGCTGAGGTCTGAGGAACATGCTGGAAAAAAACAACAACACAGAAACAAAAAGTTAGTACACAACATCAACAGCACTTTCTACTGCAGACTCAGAGTACACCAAGACAGATCTGAAGAAACGTTTTTTCTTTTTCATACTGGGCTTTGAGATCTTATAGTCTTTAATATAGTCAGAAAAATAAGAATAAGACCAAAGGCAATCTTATGAACATTATTATTCATGGTACCATCATGTAAACCTTAAACAAACTTATTCATTAAAGTAAAACACTTAAATGTTTTCATAGGCGTCATGGATTCATGTTTAGGGTATCTGTCTGAGGATTCTAAGGCCCAGTGGCCTGAATAACACCATCTGCTGGACATTTAGTGTATACACACCCTCTTATGATAATCCCATAAAAATAAAAGCATTTTAACTATCGAAGAGTGCCTAGGACCATTTTGTTCAAACACTAGCTCAGTAGAGGTTGTAAATGCCTGTAGATTTATCGATATAAATCAATAATTAAGCTTTTAAAGCTTTGCATCTTTTTGGCTCAATTTAAGATAATTTAAAAAAAGAATCAACCATATGAGTCGAATTTTTCGAGTAAATTTCGGTGAAGCGCGTATCGAAGCTCGTGTTGATGACGTATGTGATAACGTTTGAATCCTCGCGAGTCGGTGTTGTGCCGTAAAATGCATCCCCTGCACCCCCTCCGCTCATTACCTTCTTTAAAGTGGAAGAAAATTATCTCATATTAAAACAAAACACGAGTATTGGATCATGACAACATGTCAAATGGAGCAGCAAACTTTTGTTCCGTTTTTATGTCTCTCAAAAATGCACATACAGAGGTGTACTCGGGTATATAAACGGTACAGATAGCGTTCAAGGTAGAGACCATTATATTTTCGGGACAGCAAATATTCCGAATCAGAGGGCTGTTGTTTTCGGCTTATCTGAATAACCTGAATGAAATCATTAAAAAGGCACACACACTTCTGAATCCATCCAATGGTGGGAAAACATGGATTATTTCGGTTTATGTTCTCTCAACAGCGCTTCAGTCAGGGGGGTGCATTTTACAGCAGGGGTGCAATCTACGGCGGAACACCGGCCCTACCACGTGACCGATTCCGGAACCGGCTCTCGGTTTTGGCGGGCGATTTGAAATCTAACAGCCAATTACAGCCAAACGGCAGCCAAACGCAACGGAGTACCGCTAAAAGTCCAAGACTTGTTGAAAAGTTGTTTTTAAGTGAAAACAAATGAAATATTAAACGTGTTCTATGTTGTCCCCGTAACAAACGCACAGTCAGAAACCAAGTTACACACAAGCACATTCACATCACAACTGTCTCTATTACTATTTATGTCCACTGCACCTTTTTACCCTGCGACTGTGTCGTAAATACAGACAACTTATCAATAACTTAATCATTTCTGTATCGATATCTCAAACACATGGCGTCACATCCATTTATTTATTTAATTCATAGATTCGCACACCAAAGAGGGTGTCTCTGATAATCACTCTGCCTGATTTAAATTTACTGTTCAAAATGGCACAGTAATGAAGCACAATAATGAAGTTTCAGACCAGAGTAAAGCAAACGAATGGAAATAATGATTCAAGAGGCTTCATGTCACCATCACCAGCTGAGTCCTTACCTGTACTCCAGACGAAGGTGTTGCTTCCTCTCAGTTTGCTGGCGAATGGATCGATAGCTTCAGGTGACCCTCTTTTGAACCCTGTGACCACTCCCACGGGGCTTTTTTAATTACATAATTTCTAACAAACTGAAATTTTCTCATCATCTAAAATCAGTTTATACCTCCAAACTCTTATTCCATCCACAATCACTTATTTTACACTTTTATATTCACTTAATTTCAACAATAGAATGGTTTTTATCATATTTGTTAATTTCTGAACCACGTGACCCTCATTTCGTATTTACTCTGTGGAAATTCGCCGCCTCGGTTTCCTGGATTTCACCTGCAGTCTGAGTCGGACGTGGATCGGGGAGTCTGCGCCTCGCCTTGAGGTTCGAGGAAATACACGTGTTCAAATGTAAATCGATATTTGATCGATGATATTCCTAATTTTGGTCGCTACACTAAAATAGAGATGAACAGTGGTGTGATGGCAAAGATGGCACGAACAGACGCGCTCGAACCATGCGTCCCTTCATTGCGCCAGATGCGCTACATGGAACATCGGCCTACCGAGCCACGCGAACGGAGCAAACTGCGCCAGGTTTTACCGGAATCATTAGGGAGAAGGACAACGGCCTTAAACCGGTAAATAAAGCTGATAGTGTTTTGTTTTGGTCAGAAAGACCCACACATTCAGAATGAGGGTGAAAGTCGGCATATCGGTCGTTTTGCACCGCATACAGGTGAGGAAACACGGAGACGCCGCTGCCTGGTTGCGTTTCTGTAATATTTGCAGTTTTTAATCAACAAAACCAACTGTATCATCGATGAGAACGAACCGATCAAATCACAGTTTACCAAGTTATTAATATTTCTATGGTAGAAGAGGTCTCTGCATGTGTATTTATGAGTTAACATACAGTTGAAAGTAGGCCTATAAGCATTGTTCAGAAGAATCACGCAGACATACAAGCCTATACATACATTTTATCGACATCATCTTGTGTGGAAACCCACAAATTAATTACTGGTTGTTTTCTTGAGACTTCAGCCTTTACCCTGTTTTTCTAAAAAGGTGATTCTGACTTTTTCTGCCCAATACAGACAACCATAACCCAACCACACTAGGACATGTATCTAAACAGTTGCATGTCAGTGTTGCATGCTAGTTAATCTGAGCAATGAAGTTAGACAAGAACATATTTTGAGTTTGGTGGCTTGATGTATGATTCTGTATTTTTATACAATCACAGGTGTGACCCGGGTCCCCACCCTCAGTGGGATTATCAGTGTCTTCTTTCAGACAACACAACTGCATAGACCAGACTTCATGAATCATCTGCGTTTGTCCAAGAAGACACGCAGACATAACTCCATCCACGAACCTTCTGTACCAGGAACAACAGCTTCCACCACCCTGAAGACAACATCAGGTAAAATAAGTCTATCAAACAAGTGTTAAAGGGAGATATTGAGGTGCAGAACTTTCAAACTGTTACACTGAGAACTTTGGATGTAGTTACCCTTTCAAACATAAAGTTATACGACAAAAAGTGACCTTTTGAAAATTAGTGAGCCTATCTTAGAAATTTGGTTTCAACCTGCCTGCACTCACAGATTACTTTATATATTCAGTAAATGACTTTTACTCCTCAAAAAGAAGTATTGCTCTTTAAAAATAACAATACTTTTTATATTAATGAGATAACATCTGAGAAAACAGACCTCAAAGTGCACACAGTAAAAGGCAACAGTAAAAACAACAAATAGAAATACAAACAACAGTCAGAATATAAAATCAGTCCAGAAAGGCTTTTCTAAAAAGGAAGGTCTTAAGTCCTTTTTTAAAAACATCCACCGTCTGTGGAGATCTGAGGTGGTCAGGAAAGGTGTTCCACAGACGGGGAGCAGCAGCCTCGAAGGCCCTTTCACCCATGGTCTTGAGCCGAGTCCTGGGTGGGTGCAGATGGTGCAATTGGCCTGACCGGGTTTTGGCTGAGGTGTGTGGGGTGAGGAGTTTGGTGAGGCAGGTGGGGGCTGCACCTTGAAGACAGTGATAGGTGTGGAGGAGGATTTTGTTGAGTTTCATCACTTTTACAGTCTTGACTGTCCTACCACAGCAGAGATGACATAGAATATGCAGTTTGGGGTCTTACCACTAGAGGAGACTGATGTCATATCTAGTTGTTACAGATCCACATTTACCAACATGTTAAAAAAAAAAAAAGATGCACCTTGAAATTGATTTTGATTGAAGTTTTGTGGAGTCAGGTTTGTTGCCAAGTAGTAATATGTAAGAGGATTGCACAACTCCATGTTCTTGCACCTTTGATTAATCCAGAAACAATGAAAGATAAAGTTTAACACTATTCCTGATCATTCAGTGAGGGTGGATGTAAGACGTGCCAAACTACTCTGATAAAAGTTTATCTGCATTAAAACTAAACAACAAGTGCCGCCTTTTTACGAATATTGATAATCTCTGTCTGTTTCCAGTGATAAAATACATCTGTGTGACATTTTTTGAGCTAGTGATGAGAATTTTTCCCTCAAACTTATTTCTTTCTCTCCATCTTTTCTCATTCATTTTTTTATCTGTACACTGAGAAATACTGATCTTTACCTCTATAATTATATTTGTATAAATACGGATGTTGTCTATCTATTATATCTATCTAATCTATCTTATCTATCTATATGAAGGTAAAGGACTGTCCTTGGTTGGCCACCTTCATCACATCATGTCACATGCTCTTCCTCTAAAGATCCACATGGTGGTGCTAAAAGCTCACAGGCCTCACTGTGAAGGACATGAGTCCCTAAAACCAAAGAAGACTGCAGTGACGTGAATAGAGGAAAGGTTCAAATCTGGAATAATTAACTACAGGCAGATTTGTAAATAAAAGGATAATCCCTCATGTTTGTTGGTCAGAGTCAAACTGGTCCTTCAGGTGTGTCTGCGGTTCACGTGTTTGCTCCGACATGCTCAGCTAACACAGTCAGCCCCTGCTTTTTTAACCACCTCATCATAAAGACCGGCCTCTGAAAAACATCTCTGAAAAGGTTTGGCAGCTTTGATGACTCGTTGGTTCAGTAATTATGTGGACAAAAGCGGCAGCATGAATAATAATAGCAGCTGGAACTATACAATGGCTCAAGTGCTTTACTTTATCACAGGCAAAGCTTTAAAGCTTATTCAGCATTAACGAAAACTCTGCCTCTGCCAAGCGTCAAATAGAAAGATCACAACGCAGTTCGCAGCCTTAAAAAAACATCTATTCAATCTCACCTTTGTGTCCTTGTGATAAAAAACAACAGAGAAGAGGTTTGGGCTCGCTGCTGTGGAGATCTGTTATTCTACAAAACCAAACACTCAAGATGACAGTGCCAAAACGCAGCTCAAGAAGAGGCGCAGCCCGTCGAGCAAAGAGCTTGTACCTTAATTAACGCTGAAAATAGACACAGTGATGGTCCGGTTGAGAGCACACAGACAGCTTCTGAAGGACTAAAATGTCTAAACGCCCAATAAAGTTGACAAATCATAATATTCAGCAGTGCAGGGATGCTTTATATTTAGGATTTCAACATCATTTATGGATTTGCAGGTCCAAGGCCCAGTTTTAGTGTGAAGCAGGTAAAATCACAGCTTAAAGCTTTCTCCCCCTGTATCTCAGGTGTTTAACTCACAGCTGCTGTACCCATTGAATGAGGCAGCAGTCTGCTCATGCACTGTACAAACTGAACACACACAGCTGTGTTTACACTGTGCGGTCAGCCTGGCGCTGAATGCAGTCATTTACTGTTCCTCCACTGTCCTCTGTTATTAATCAGCTGACCTATAATTATGCTAAATTTGACATAAACGTTTTAGTTTGATGAATTCTAGCTGCATCTACTGGATGCAGGCTACTGTGGCTAAAATTAAAACGGCTTTAAACTTTTTACAGCGTGTTGGATGATTAATTGGAGTATCCATCCTGCAAAAGCCTCAAACCGTCTGTGGTTCAGACAGGCAGACCATGCAGAGTTTGCTGTTTCACCTATTTTATTTCTGTTTGATGCATTTTTGGTTTTGGAGTGTTTTTCCTGGAATAAGACCCCTGAGGTTTCTCTGACTCATCAATCACTTAGTTTTTCAAGGGATAGGGCAGCAAGAGTATGCGGGTACAGTCGAAGGCTGAACAGGCCAACAGGAAGGACACTGTGCTTATGTATATCGATGCACATATCAAATACATGACAAATCAAAGCTTATGGGAGTCAAAAAACAAATAATATACTCCAAACTTCCCTGCAAGATTGGTCAAAAGGATGCTACCTTTTCATTGGAGCTTAAAGGGATATTCAGGTTTAAAGTTAAGTTAGGGTCAAACACACTGTAACACCGAGGTAGACTACCCCTCGAGAGATGAATGTTGCCGACCGCTATTTAGCTTTGCCTGGTTTCTTTAGCAAAGACGAAACACTGCTTGTTTTTGGGGGAGCCCTGAGGAAGGCGATCACCGAGTGCAGCGGATCATTTCCATGAAGTAATAATCATCATGATAATCTTTTTGCACTGCAGACGCGGTAGTTCTTCTGCCTTAGCATCTCGGTCTGATTGCATTTCCATGAAGTAATAATTATAAATGTTCTTCCTTGAGCTGCGAAACTTCGCTACACTCGGTGATTGACTTGTCAGGGCTTCCCCACAATCAAGCGGCTGCTGGAGGAGAGTGGGTGAATTGTGTTTGGTCTCTTTGCTAAAAAGATGTTTTGATGGCAAGTACTATGGTGTGTTAGGTGCTGTTCTGAGCATTATTTGTGGCTATAGAGTGGCGTTTTGGTTGAGGTTTGCATGTGGAGACGTAGACCAGTGTGAATTGCTATTCTGCGGTCGTTGCTGAAGTTGGTATAACTAGAGAAGCAAGCAGTCGACAACATTCATTTCTCGAGGGGGTGTCTAACTTGGTGTTACGGTGTGTTCGACCATAACTTAAATTTACAACGGAACCCTTTAACTTTGAATCATCATGTCCCAGTAGAGTCACTAATAAACTGCCTTTTCTAGAAGTCCCTGACTTCCGTCATGCTGTAGTTTCCTGTGGATGGCTGCTGCAGATGTTTGATTGTTGGGGTTGTCAAACTCTGTTACAGTGTGTTCGACCATAACTTAAATCTACGCTGGAATATCCCTTCAATGAACTGCTGCTTGTTTCTTTTTTGCACCTCCACATTGGCTTTACTCATCGACTATTGTTTCAGGAAATATGGAGTGTACTCTTCACTTTAGAAGTCAGCTGAGAATAATGTCATACCTGAGTTGACCACCTGCTATAAATTGGGAATAAAGTTTTCCCTCTAACCCATGTAAGTTTCTCTGCTCTTGTAACAAAAAAGAACAACTTCATGACTGTTCATGTCTTCAGCAGGTCATGTTGTTTGAAGCAGCAGCAGTTTAAGGTATGGCCATGCTGACATCATGTTGCTCTTGTGTTTTATAAGAGGTGACATGTATGCAGGGACTCAGCTATGTAAATACCAACATGAGCTGGAATCACACAACCAACTGGCGCATAAACATCACAGTTAGTGTGAAGTCAGAGTTAAATGTGTGCACACCTGGTGGTTGAACGCTCTCTGTTTGCAGACCTGCTTGGCCTCCCGGTGCCCTTTCCTCCTGAAAACAAGGCTGCTTTCTTAACAGCAGCTCCAAACTACTTATACAACGCAAATAAAGAAGCAAACACGGATTAAAGGGTGTGAACTACACTCCCTTAAGGTCATACAGGTGTACGCAGACTCCAAGAGTCAGCAGGTTGAGCTGCAGCAGCACCTCATATTTTAAATTCAGCACCGTTGAATTTGAAAATTAAAAATTGGTATTTTAAATATCCAATACATATACTAAGAGTTTTTGCAGAGACTGTATGTATATCTTAGAAGACTGCTCTACTCTTTGGTGGTATGTGCCTCCTTATTGTCCTTCTCGTTCGTCTTGTTTTCAGAGCTGGTGGTGTAGTAACTAAGTCAAAGTTTCTCACCAAACTTAGGTTATACCCATGAACCTCTAGTCTGGTAGAGCACCTTATTTTTATTTGGCCTTGTAAAAACACAAGGTGATTAAGGAGCATCTGTAATTTCCTCTCAATCCTCTTCGCTGCAGAAAACAAGTTATTAAAGTTCCTCTGCAATTCTGTTTTAATCAAACCCTGCTATAAAAAAAACATATGTCTGAGCCGAGGCTTAGTCAGGGTCAACAAACAACAAAAAGTGATCTAGAAAGAAACTCCTCCTCGTTTATGCTTTTTAAACTGTGCTGAGCAACAACAGTGAAATATCCCAATAAAATGAGAGGGTAGATCTTAGAGGTTTAGTGGTTTTTGCCCTGACTCTCACACCAATATCTGACTGTGATGAAAAATTCTCTCACAGAGCCCGAAACACAATAGATCCCCCGCCCCCACCCACCCCGGCATGCCCTTGTCAGAGGATATATGTCAAAGCTGTAACATCATACTCCTAAGTATCTTTTGGACGCTCCACGGGTCACATTCTTTTGTGACGGTGGAGGACGTGTGAATGGATTCAACCTTGCGAAGGGGGAAGATAAAAAGAAGGGGTTAAAGATGAGGATGAAGAAGATGAGTGGAGGTAAAAAAGAGAGACATAAGAGGAATAGCGGAGTTATGGAACTGAAGTCCACAGACACGCACTGGCATCTGGCACAGCTCATCTTTACCATCACACACATTCCTGCATGACACACTCACAAAGCACCATTGTAATGAACTGGATCTGCCTCGTATCCTCACTGCTACCTTCCCTTCAAGGTGCACACACACACACACACACACACACACACACACAGACACACACACATGTATGCCTTTGGCCTTGAGCCACCCCCATTGTGCAGAGTTATGAGCTGACAGTAATAATACCACCTGTAAATGATTCTCTACAGTAGAGAGGAGAGGTGTGAACTTCAAAAGATAAAGAGGGGGATTGATGAGCCGTGATATAGTGTTGCTCCAGTGTCACGTGAACTGTGGTCAAAGGGGGGGTGGGTGTGTAGGTGGGGGCTGAATACTCTTCATTCGAGTCCTTTTAAAAACCAGCCACTTTAGAGAGGGGATAGAGGGAGACCGACAGAAATCATGCAAGTCCCCAACAGTTAAACACCTGCAGCAGCCATCCAGAGGAAACTACAGCATGACGGAGGTCATGGGCTGCTAGAAATGACAGTTTATTAGTGACTCTACTGGGACATGATGATTCAAAGTTAAAGGGATATTCTAGTGTAAAATTTAATTATGGTCAAACACACCGTAAAACCGAGTTAGACACCCCCTTGAGAGATGAATGTTGCCGACTGTTTGCTTCTCTAGTTATACCAACTTCAGCAACGACCACATGATAGCAATACACAGCAGTCTATGTCTCCAAACCTTAATCAAAACGCCACTCTATAGCCACAAATAATGCTCAGAACAGCATCTAACTTCATTAACAGTACATATAGGGTCCCAGCCATAGTACTAGCCATCAAACACTTTTTTAGCTTTGCCTGATTTCTTTAGCAAAAAGACCAAACACAACTCACCCACTCTCCTCCAGCAGGTGATTGTTTGTGGGGAGCCCTGACCTACCAATCACAGAGTGTAGCGGAGTTTCGCAGCTGAAGGAAGAACATTTTATGATTATTACGTCATGGAAATGCAATCAGACCGAGACGCTAAGGCAGAAGAACTACCGCATCTGCAGTGCAAACTTATTTATTATGATGATTAATACTTCATGAAAATGATCTGCTGCACTCGGTGATCGACTTGTCAGGCCTCCCCCAAAAACAAGCAGCTGCTGTAGGAGAGTGGGTGAGTTGGGTTTAGTCTCTAGTACTATGGCTATGGGTGTCTACCTCTGTGTTACAGTGTGT